AGGCAGCTCCGAACCAGCGTCATACAACCAAGCGGTAAAATCAGCTGACTAGCGTAATGCTATGGCAACAGAATATTTTGCGTTGCAAAAACAAGGAACTTTGATTCTAGTTTCTCCTCCTAAGTCAGCCTCTGTTTTAGGCTGTCGTTGGACATTTCGCACTAAAAGGCACAAAGACGGGTCAGTGGCTAGACTAAAAGCTCGCCTTGTCGCACAAGGCAACAATCAAGAACAAGGCATCGATTACTTCGAAACATTCAGTCCGATCGCGAAACTCCCTACCATTCGCATTCTTATAATAGTCACTCTCTTCAACGGCTAGGACATTCAACAATTTGACGTAGAAAATGCATTTCTACACGGAAAACTATCAGAAACCGTATACATGTGTCAACCAAAGGGTTTCGAAGATCCCTCCTTACCGGACCATGTGTGTCTACTTCAAAAAGCCATTTACGGTCTTAAACAAAGTCCACGGCAATGGTACACCACACTCACCGATCACGTCATATCCCTTGGCTTCAAAGGCAGTCAGGCGGATCCATCACTTCTTACATACACACACCAACCACATTCAAATATATTTGCTAGTCTATGTAGATGATCTACTTATTACTGGCAACGACAAACAAGCGATATCTGTCTTTATCTCTCAGCTCGGTGCACGATTCAATTTAAAACATCTCGGGTTAGCCAATCACTTTCTCAGCATAAGCATTCAGTATAACACTAATTCTTATTTCTTGTCTCAGCAGGCATATGCAGAATCCATTCTATGCCAAGCGGGTATTCAAATGTGCAAACCTCTGGCAAATCCCACAACAACTAAACTACCGACTGATTTCACGCCTGACAACTTGCTGTCCAATCCGGCAGTTTATAGACGGATTACAGGATCCCTTCAGTATCTTACCTTAACTAGACCGGACATTGCGTTTGCAGTAAATGTCATTTCACAATATATGCATAATCCTTTATCTAATCATGTTTATATATTAAAACGCCTTCTCAGATATATACAAGGAACTCGGCATTTCGGACTTCCGATTACCAAATCGGACCTGCAGCTTCGCACCTTCTCCGACGCTGATTGGGTCGGAGATCCGCTGTCAAGAAAATCTACAACAGGTTACTGCACTTTTCTCGGTACCACACTAGTCTCTTGGGCAGTCAAGAAACAAACAACAGTAGCACGATCATCTATCGAATCTGAATATCGCGCCTTAGCAGCTGCTACCGCCGACGTGATTTGGATAAAACGACTATTGACAGATTTTCACATCAGCCAAACGTGTGCATCAGATCTATTTTGCGACAATGTATCAGTCATTGCTCTCACCAATAATCCGGTATTTCACGCACGGACAAAACACATTGAAATAGGCCACCGGTTTCTAAGGGATCAAATTCAGCAGCACAAGATTCGGATTATGCCGATCAGTTCCATTGACCAAATAGTGGACATATTCACCAAAAATATGTCTACACCTCGCTTTCAAATTTTGCGGCTCAAACTGACAATCATTCCCGATCCATCAGTTTGCGGGGGCATATTAGAAGACAGCATCAATAATGAATAAATACTACATTTACTGTACTCAAATAAATTCCTATCAGTGCTTGACACGTGTACTCTACAAACTGAGCAAAGTCTATATATTGTATACATGTCTCAGTAAAGAATACGAATAATACTAATTTCTTTAATTGTCTGCAATTCTTCTCTTCTTCCTTTTCTACAGTTATCTTATTGTGAATGACAAAAACTAGTCCCCCCACTGAGGAGGCATCATGCGATCGACAATATAGAAAAGATGTAGTTCGATGAGGGGGCGAGCCTTTGATCGGATATATACTTCCATGCTAATGCAAAGAAAATGAAAAAAAAATGACATGGAGAGGACTTTGGTTCCTAGAAGTGTTTAGGATTGATGTAGGAAGGAAGTTCATTTCTGTAGAAGAAGGAAAAAAAGAAAACAATAGAACCATAAATTAAGAAGTTTACTTAATTCAATTATGTTGCTACTATCCACATTGTAGATAGGGGAGAGATTTAGGCTTAGGCTTAGTCTGTGATGGATTTCTTACTACTTCTTAAAGTACATTTCTAGTATAAAAATTTTAATTTTTGTACTTAAAAAAAATGTTTTAAGAATAAGCAAGAAATTCATTTCAAACGAAGTCTTAGACTTTATTTGGGACATCTTTCTTATTGTTTTCTAAAATAGCATACGAAAAAATTTAATTAAAAAAAATTATACTCAAAAGATATTTTAGAAAACAGTAAGAAAGGTATCCCAAATGAAGCCTTAATTAGTTTGAGACAATTTTCCTACTGCTTTATAAAGCAATTTTTAGCACAAAATTTTTTTGAAAGAAAATATTTTTATTATTAGAAAACAATAAGAAAGCTGTCACAAACGAAGTCTTACTGTTAAAAAGAAAATGACACAAATACAGAAAAGGTCCACCTCACCTAGCTAGAGAAAATGGTTTAATCGTAGCTTAACTTAAAACCATTCCAGTGATTTTGAGCAAAAGATAATAATTAAAAAAAAAATTCTAGTTGATTTTGAGCCAAGCAAAATCTTGTTAAAGATAGATTAGGTTGCCACAACGTATTTTTTTAGTTATGTTTAATTTTTAAGTATAGTTTAGAAAGATTAAATAACAAATTATCATATGAATTTTTGTAATATGAAATATTTTAAATTATATGATTAAAATGATCTTTAGATAATAATAATTTAAGATTTTAAAATATTGAAATATTTAAACTTATTAGTTTAAAACTTTAAACAAATAAGAAAAGGTTTTTACAAATTTTTTTATTTAATGAACTTTGTAAAAATAAATAATAATATATGAATTCTAATAATTTTTTTTATGCTTTCATTTATGATTCCTCTGGCGCATTCCTCTCGGCAAAATACATAATATATAAATTATATTACAAAATTAAATTTATTGAATATGATTTAATTTTTTTGTCGTAATTTTAAATAAATAATTGTTTTTAAGAAAATTCATTTCAAACTGAAAGTCTGAAACTCGATTTTGTTTCCAATTTAAACTGTCATGTCATGTTATTTTTTATTTTTGAGGAACACATTTTTTGTACCATATAGGTTAGAGAAATGCTATAAGTTATGAGTGTTAGTTAGTGTAAATGATCTAAATTATTATAAAAATTTTGAAATAAAGTTTTTTCTATCTCAAATTTATGTTTTAATACTTTACAATTAATACCTAGTTAAAAACCAACTCGACAGAGTACGAATCTCTATGTGCATTTGAATTTAAAACTTCTAAAATTAAATACAATATCATCTAAACTCTCATTCCAGGTAATGTATAGCCAACTAAATGTCTCAATGATATGAATTCAACAATATTAGAAGTGTTCTGATCCAAATCCGAATAAACCCAAATCAAAAGCATGAAGCATAGCAAGAAACTTCATCACACTAATTTCAAGGCCAAACACTCTTTATATCTTTTATGATTATAGTCAAATCAAGTGTCTCAATTAATTAGAGAAATCCAATAATCTTAAAATTGCTTAATTCTAACATCATTAAGACATCTAAAGGTTGATGCAAGGGTCTATAACTAAGGGATCATAATTAATGGAGGTCATTTGATGGAGTCAGGGGTGGAACCCCATTGGGGGGGGGGGGCTATTGTTCCCGCTTAAAATTTTTTTTTAAAAAAATTATATGATTTTTTAGGAAATTTATCATTATTCATTCAATTTTTTGTCTTTATTACAAGGGTTTTTAGACAATTTTCATGCTAAAAATTTTAAAATACTATAGTATGTAGGTAATTGCCCCCAACAAATAGTAAAGATAATTCATCATTGAATTCCAAACATATTATTCAAACCAAAATTATCCCATTGACCTAGCAACCTGACTGGGCAGGTCGAACCCCGCCAGGGGGTGATGCCCCATTGGACCCCCGACATATATGCCTCATAAGTTTGTCCCCTCTGAAAATTAGGGTTGGTTTCGCCCCTGGATGGAGTGTTTCAAAATGTTACTATATTTATAAGACATGCCACTCAAAAACTCTACAAATAGACCCACTCTCAGACCACCATGCATCTAACCATTGTCTTCATTACCTACTATTGCTAATAAAGTACAACACATTATTACTAATAAGATCAATATATGTTGTCGACACTAACTCTAACTCTCAATATCAAAACGATGATATATGCTAAATTTCTTGGTCTTTAGTCTCCCCTCCTCAGAGAAACGACCAAACAAACAAGCAAACAATCTCTTAAATATAGCTCCTATGCTATAGAGCTCTTCCGACTTTTTCACATAATGTATTCTATATATTGTATGTTTACTATATTGTATCAATGCCTTTACTTGTAAAAGGGTTTTATTTGTAACTTATGACAAATATTATTAAATTATTTAAAACAGGTCAAGCCACATAGTTTTTTTTTTAAGATTTCTACATAAAAAATTTCTCTCTTACAACTTATTTTAGCTATATAACATTGAATCTTAATATTCAGACATTAAACTCTCTCATTCTATTGCTATAATGCTCAAAGATATAACAATAATAAAAATAAAACAAAAAAACTATCAAAATATCCTTATTAAAATTTTAATTAAAACTAAAATTTAAAATTTTAAATATACTTTAAAGATTATATTACTCATCTTAAATTAACTTTAAATCCTTAAAAATCATCATTTTTTAATCATAATACTACTTTCATACAAAATTTTCCGAAGAAGCCGATGGTTTGTTCGTCTCTCGAAATCTCAGAGGAGCCGGGTGCGGCTATTAGGTAAATTCCCATCGGGCCCCTAAACCACTTCGCCATCGCATAACCCATCTGCTCGTTATTCCGAAAATGCCCCAGACCGCTGTCCCATCCACATAATGTATATATAAACATTTTATTATTAATAGAGCTTTATTCCCCTCTTCTAGCTTGCGGTCTCTCTCTCTCTCTCTCTCTTAACCTCGCCGTCGCCGCCGACGGCTCAACCCCAAGCGGTTTCAGTTCCTTTTAAAACTGCTCACACCTCCGATCCGGGCATATCCAGTGGCTGGAGAAAGGAGAAATCGCCGTTCAGGAAGCCGTGATATGGCAGCGATAATGACGCAACGAGGGAAGCCCCAGTCTCACCTTCCTCCCCGTGATTTCTCTTCGCCTACCCCAAAGAGATGGCCGAAACAGAGACTCCTTCAGTGCGAGGTGGACGTCGGACAAAGAAGATCGGCTCCACAGTCTCCGGCGCAAGATAGCCGGCTTCCGCTCCCGCTGATCGGGGATCGGGTGATCGGCGACGATGGAGATAGCCTCAAGGAGCTCCGGGAGAAGCTGCTAGGCCATCTCCGTGAGGCTGCTAACAAGATGAAAGTCGAAATGTCCCCCATCAGTCCTGCCGCTCCGGCGTCAGAGAGAGCCGGTAAACCCAAGCTGGAGCCACGGCGGTCTGCCGCCGACAGTCAGAACGATAAGCGTTGGAATCTGAGATCGAGGACGAACGCTAGAAGAACGTCGACAGCGCCACTGGCTTTACCTGCGAAGGCGTCGGAGAGAACGATGCGTCTGAGATCGGAGCATTCGGAGAAGGAAAAGAAGAAGCAGAGATTCTCGATCTCGCTCTCCCGGGAGGAGATCGAAGAGGACATCTTCGCTTTCACGGGATCCCGGCCCCGACGCCGGCCGAAGAAACGGCCGAGGAACGTCCAGTGGCAGCTTGATGTAGGGCTCAGATCTCCTTCCATGATTCCTCTCTTCTTTATTCCCCTCCCCCTTCTTTCATTGGCTTTATTATTTTCCTTTTATTTCCCGCAGGCGCTCTTCCCAGGGTTCTCACTGTCGGAGATCACGCCGGAGCTTTACAAAGTCGCCGAATAGGATTTTACCGGCGAGTTTAATCTCACTGACGGTGACTACATCGCGCTGCTCCGCATCCTTTTTCCATCCTTCAACATGGAATGAGATTGACCGTAGTTGTTGAGCTTTTGTATGGAAAATGGAATTGGCAAAATAATATTTATTTTATATTTAATATTATATGAATTCAATTAATATATTTTATGATTTATTATTTTATTGAGTTCTTCGCCGACTCGTCCAACTCCTATTTTGAGATTTTAAGATGTGTTATTATAACTATTTTATTTATTAGTTTTATTAATCTATTAATTAAAATGAATCTTAAGCATATTTGAGTTGATATTTAGGCTTGTTTGGGACGTTTTTTGTATTGTTGTACATTATAGGTTATAGTCACAATTCTATTTAATTGCTGTTTTTTGATGCTTTAAAAAAAAGTATGTGCTAGAAAATTATTTTATTTAATTATTTTCAAAAAAATTTTATAATCATTTTTATAAAGAGTTATGATCGTCCACACAGATTTTTAGTAAGCAAATAAAATATTTTGTGTAAGAATTTAATAAAATAAAAAATAAGCTGTTTTAAAGTTTTATTTGAGATGATTTTTTTTATTATTTTTTAAATTATAATTTTAATAAAAATATAAAACTTTTTTTTACTAAAATTCGATTTAAAAAAACAATAAAAAATAGTCCAAAAACAATCTTAGTCTTTAGACAAAGATTTTGTCCCTTCACATTGTTATCAAAAGCTATTGAGATCAGAAAAGGTTGATGCTTGAAATTATGGAAATAATTCAGTAATAATTTTCTAAGTCAGATCTCAAAGGCTTTAATGTTTTGTTCGAGATAAATTTTCTATTATTTTTAAAAATAATTCTTTAATATAAATTTTTTTATTAGAAATTTTGCTCCAAAAAGGCTGTCCTACGCGATGCCTAGGTTTGTTTTAAGGCGTTGAATGAATTTAATTAATTACACGAAAGCTAGCAAGTAGATAGCTTTCGAGTTCCCAATCATCGAGCCGCCGTCTCTACACGTTACAAATTTTTGCTGTATAAAACTATTTTTCCTTGAACAAAGTTTCATTTCATGTTATTACATAAAATATGCCAAAATAGCTCGTCCTAAATTTTGTAAAATAATTTGTCTTATTATATCAAATTATCCAACAGGAAAATGTAACCATTATTTTCTTGATACTGTTTTATAGGTTATTAAACATCTCATCAAAATAAGCAGGAATATTGACATAAAAATTCAGACCATAAAGCACTCGGAGAGTTGAAAAATTATCTTGGGCTAATTAAAATCGTTTAGATCGTATAAATTTAATTGGATGACTCGATTCAAGCATGGTTTGATTCCAACGTTATCTTCAGTGGTTAAAATTGAGCCAATCGAGCCCGATTTAATTAAAATAATTTTGATTAATAATCAAATAAATTTATTTGAGCCTAGTCTAATCATTTTTTACCGCCTCATGCCTAAATTTGTAAAAAAAAAAGGTTATTAATTAAATAAATTCAAATCAAGCAAACAAATTGAACTTGATTTAAATCTATTCAGCTTCAATCGATTCAATTAAACGAGATTCGACTTAATTTAAATCAAATTGATATCATTTAGCTCAAATTTACTCGACCAATTGAATCCAAATCCATTTTAATAAATTTTATTCAATCCTTTGTATCCGAAATCATCTCTCCAAATTCCCCTAAAATCTCAGCTGTTGGATCCTTTTCTAAATCATGATTTAATCCAAGGCTTTGATTTAAAAATCAAGAGAGGGTAGGATCGTCTTTTGCTTCTCAATAGAAGGGTATAAGAAGGTTTGGGCGGCATTAGGGCTGATTCATTCGGCTCTTGCTTGTTCGTGCGACCCAAACCGGGAGAGGGAGGAGTTCTTCGTGCGAGAGAGGCAGACGGGAGAGGCTTTGAGCGATCCATTCGGTATTCTTCTTCTTCTCGTTAGGTCTTCTTCGTATAAACGCATCCCTACACGAAATGGCGCATTCCGTTCTTACGTTCTTATATACAATTTCATCTACTCGCGAGCAAATGTCCCGCTGTTATCTTCTTCCTCTCGCCGGTGCCCGCGACTGTCCACGCCGAACCCAGCAAACATCCCGTTTGAAAAGGTGAACTTATTAACGCCTATTTTCAATTTCTTCGGTTTTTTTCGACTTCTGCTTTGCTCGTCCTTCTCATTTGCCTTCTTCAACTTCTTCCTGAATCTGTTCTGTTCTTCGCCCTATCCCAACGCTCCAAAGTCCGCCTCAAAACGTTTGGTTGATAAAATGCAAGTTAAGTGGCAAAATTTCGCAGCTCTTCCGCCACCTCCCTCTGCGTCGGCCTCTCCTCCCCACTCACCATCAGACACCCCCTCGCCACCTCCGCCACCAACTCCACCACTTTCCCCTTCCCAGCAGCTTTTTCCCTTACCCTTCCCTCCCTCATCTCAAGCAACCTCCACGCCGCCACCCCGTCCCCAAACATGACACAGGCAATTCCCCCGTCAACAGGTCAGCTATTACCACGCCAAAGCTATACACATCTCCCTTCTCCACCATCTTCCACGAAAATTTATTAAATTAAACTCCGGATCCAACTAACCATCCCTGTCTTTCTTAATCCTCGGAAACGTAAAACAACTCACCATCATCAATCTCGCTCCAAAATCGGACACCTTGGGCACCATCCGCTCGTCCAACAGTATATCCTTCGCTTTCACCCGGCGATGAAATTGCGGATCGGGGATGCCAGAGTGGAGGCAAGCCAAGGCCTCTGCCCTCACCGCCGTGATTCTCAACCGTTCTTCCCAATACAGGGAGCCATAGAGTTCTTGGATGTGGTGGTGGAGCGTGCCGTTGGGTTTATACTCGCACACCACCACGTGAGCGGCGTTTCGTCGCAGCCAGCACCGAGGATGCGGATGATGTTCTTATCGGCTGTATACTTGGATAGACTGATCAGCTAGCTTATGAACTGATATTGAATTTTGTACTTCATTTCTTATACGCATCTTTCCTGTTTGCAATTGACTGAAGAAAAAGAAGAAATGAAATGTTGAAGAAAAAAATCGAGACAATTGACATAATAATTTTTTTAAGGTATACATATAAAATATGTATCTTTGTTATTTCACTGTGTTATTTTTATTATTTATTATTGTTTTCAATTGAGTGAAGAATAAGAAGAAAGTAAATGTAGAAGAAAAACACTGAGACAATTGAGAGAATATTTTCTGTTTATCCGTACTTATAAAATATGTATCTTTGTTATTTCACTGTTTTATTTTTATTAATGTATTGATATTTCTCTTTTGCACTTTGGCTAGCTAACATCCCCTGGTGCAGCAGACCTTGTCCATCGCCTCCAACGCCCGACTTGGTCCTGCTTGTTGATTCCAGCTGTTTGTCGAAATTCCTCTTGCCTAACGTATCAATCAAGGTAAATTTATTAGGATAAACAATTTATCATTTCCCTAATCATATAATTAGTTCCTATTGATTTGTTAAACATTATTAATTCACTTTAGACAAAAGCTAAAACTTACATCACAAATGATGCATTTTCAACACAGCAATCATTCATTTTAAAATTTTTAAGGTTTATGGAGTTAAATGATCTTACACTTAAATTTCAACATCGATAGAAGGTAATATCTATATAATTAGTTGGGTATGATCACATTTCACTACCCAAGAGAGGTTGCATGGGAATGGTTGCACTAAGATGAATTAAAAAAGACTACATAGAACGAACAAATCATTGTATTGCTCACTTCGAAAAGTTTTTATTTTCCTCTTTTCCATTTATTCGTTGCTTTACAAGTACGTTGCTTCTCGGCCTTCGCCTTCGTTTTCTTAAACGTGTTTGCCGTTGAAAAGGTAAACTTATTAGGGCAAACAATTTATCATTTCCTTATTTCTACATTAATTTTTATATTGTTTCTTATCCCTCTCGCTGAATTCCTTTTGGGATTTTTTTTTCTAAATTTTACAAACAACTGATTTCATGTATTCATATCTAAATTCATTAGACTTTTATCATGCTATGTAGTTTCTGATTTTTGCTACAAAGCTGTTCAAGAGGAAACATATATTGGTGTCTAATGCAGTGTGCTAATTCTGCTATTAATTTTGCTCATCAAGCTCTAATTTTCTATCAAGTTGCTTCTTCGTGAGGTCTTTTTTGAATTATCCTCAAGTTATCATTTCATTAAGTTGGATTAAGTCTTTGTATTAGCCAAACTATGTTTGGATGAGGGATTAGCAAATGACAAATAATTTTTTTCTTTGCTTGCATATGATGTAAGTTATGCTGCATTGCTTCTATTAATTTTGCTCATTAAGCTCTAATCTTCTATCAAGAATTTTTATTGCTTAATCTCTCAAGCATTGATACTATGTTCATTATGCATTAAGTGTGGATTGATTTACACAAAAGGTATAAACTTCTCTCCAGTGATCCGAAATTAATTACTTCTCTAATGTGAATTAGCATTTGTCAACTTTTGTTATATTAAATTAGCATTTAGCATGGGTTTTCTACACTAAATTTTTTGTTGGATTTCTTCTCCCTCTCGTTGAAATGCTTTTTGGCTTTTTTTCGGCTAATTATGCTATTTTGTATGGATTTTGATCTTCCAGAGTTCACCAACCTTCACACTAAACACCCTCTAATGAATGGTAACAGTTGTTTATGCTCTATAGGGGCACATGCAAACTGGTATTTTTATTATTTAAGAATGACAAAGAATTCTAATATTATAAAATTTTAAGATTTCTTCATTGATATATGTACATCAAATCCCAACCTTAATTTTGGTATGAAGTATTTTGCATTGGTTTGATCGTATTTAATTTTCCTATCGAAAATGAATTTTTAAAATAACTTCTGATAATTTATTTTCATGCATATTGATTTCATATGAGCTTTATAGAATTATAAGATGTTTATGAAATTAGATAAGTTTGATGTTTTTCTACAATTTCTTGAAAAATATGATTAACATTTTTTTTAATGATTCTTATAATGATTGTTTATAATGATAAGAAATATTCTTACAATATATATGCATTTGCTTTGTATAATGATGTCTTTTCTTCAGGATCAATTAGAACCACTTGGGTTTAGTAACACAAATCATGCCAGAGCCTATTAAAACTATCCATTTCCCTGCGCTAACATGAACTCTTAACATGATTTTAGTATTGCACTAATCTAAAAAATGGCATGTTGACACATTTAATGTCCACTTTAAACGAGGAATGCACATTTACTTGTCCAACACACCAATCATTAACTTTGGGATGAAACTCCTATGGTAAAACGAACAACTATTGAATCTTTAGATATAACTATGAAAGATATTATGAATAGCTCCATTTATTTTGGTGGTAAAGTGATTGTATTTGGAGGTGATTTCCGACAAGTATTAAGAGTTGTTAGATGTGCATTAAGATTAGGAACTATCAGCTACAACATGGTTAAGTCATACTTATGGTCAGATATGAAAGTTTTCAAGTTAAAATAAAATATGCGGGCAAGAACAGATCATTTATTCTATGATTTCATTTTTAGAATTGAAAATAAAGATGAGAAGAAAATCGAAGATGGATTGGTGCATATTTCAGATGAAATGATAATAGAGTATTCAAATAATGAAACTTCACAAGATTCATTAATAAATACTATTTTTTCTTCTTTACATAAAAAATTTGCATCGTCGGAATACATTATGGAAAGATCAATCCTAGCAAATAAAAATGAGTATGTTGATAAGGTTAATCAAAAGCTAATTAATATTTTTCCAAGGAATGAGATCACTTATTTCAGCTTTTGCAATATTATTAATGATAATTGTAATCTTTATCAAGTTAAATTTTTAAATTCATTTACACAAAATGGACTTCCTCCTCATCATCTTATTCTGAAGATAAATTGCCCAATAATGCTATTCAAATATTATGCAGGTAATCTGAGAATAACTCATTGCAGAATATTTATGTATTAGTTTACTTGATCTAGTGAGTTGTTGCGGGCACTGGTTTACAGATTTTTCATTTAATTTATTTAATCTTCTAGCACTCATTTGCATTTTAAGGGATCTGTGCTTCTTTGTTTTGTTTTTATAAATTTATGTTATTTTAATTTCTTAGGCATTACTTCAACTAAAATAAATTTGTCCAATTTTATTTATTTAGCACGTCAACACAAACAAATGTGGAGGATGCCATAAGCGAGCCCATAAACAGGGAGTCTGGTAGGGAGAGCGGGAGGGCTGCAAATGAAAAGAAATGAAAATTTTGATGAAGAATTAGTCACCAATCACAAAGCAACAATCACCATAGATTTTTGAATCTATTCATGATGAACGTTTGAGATGAGTTTAATTGAAACGAAAGATATAAATTTTATATTAATGAAAAACAAGCAACTTTGGCTTCATTTTGAGACAACTTTCTTACTCTATTTTTTAGACGGCGACCACAATTTTTATTTGGCCGCTATTTTTTCGTTGTTTAAAAAATAAAAGTTGTGCTAAGAATTTGCTTTTTACAGCATCTTTAAAAAGTTTCTTTCTCTACAACAATTTTGCAAAGCATTAATGTAGTTGTCCCAAATGAAGCCTTTGTGATGTTCATATGATTTAAAAATTTGTTGTTATTTTGGTATGAAGTTACAAGTATTTTGTTTTTAAAGATCTATGGCTCAAAGGGGATGCTTATTTCTTCAAGATCATAATTTTGAGCAGAGATATTTTTTAATTTATAACTCATCATTTTCAAAATAAAATTTATTATTTTATTTTAATTAAAAAAATTATTTATTTTTTTTACTTTTAAAATATAAGTTATAGCTGAATACAAACATATAGAATTTAGTATTTTGAATATGTATTATTTAATGCAATGTTGAAGCTTTTCTCTGGTGATAGCAGATAGTATCTTTTGTTAATGGATAGTTTCGTAAGCCGATGCTATTTAACATGTGATTTTCTTCTTTTGAACTTTGTTTTAGTATTTGAAGTCTTTTAAGGTTTGCATACTCAATGCCATTGTTAGAGTTTTTGTGACATCCAGTGTATAAAGGTTGATCTCTTAGTCACTTTTTAGGGTTCTTTTATTGAAACATGCCATGTTTTTTAGTATTCTTCTAGCTGGCTTGTCTTTCTAGTAATTTATGCTGGTAGTTGTTCTGCTCTGTAGCTTAGTTCTTCTTATTAGCATATAGAGTTAGAGCTTCAGTTTGTTGAAGCAGGCCCATTACTTCCATGTTATGATGAGATGCATGTGATAATCAAACTAAAGTTTCTTATATTAACTAGTAATAATACATCCACTTCTTGAAGCAAATTACAGCATTACTATTATCCTGAAATTTAGCTCATTACTTTTTCTTACCTTCTTTCTGATAAATTCTTATTATTTCATTTGCAGTTATAAGGTCATCGATCTGGTTCTAGATATATATTGACACGATGGTTCAGTACAACTTCAAAAAGATCACAGTTGAAAGTGAGATTCACCCAACAGAACTTTCATGAGAAGCTGTCCACCATTATTGAGGAGTTTCCTAGCAAAGCCCTACATGGGATCCTGGTTGGGTACCCATTGAGTACTCGTGCTTTACTCAGACGAGCTTCGCCCACCCACGCCCACCCATGGTGACTTTCGGGATTCCATACTCACCTATACCCACCCACTTTCAGTGCTATTTAAACTCTGTCTGTCACAGATTGATGGCTTTGAGGCTTGTTGTCCTTTGCTATGATTGCAAACTTTCAAAGCACATATCAGAATTTACCGTAGTTGTAGCGTGGTTAAGTGCTGCACACTATGTAGTGAGAATTGCAGTAATATAAGATATAAAGTTATTAGCAATGTAAATCGATTTATCCCTCGATGTTGAGTACCCACCCATAATGAATATGGGTGGGTACATGAGTGAGTGTGTGTGTATGAGTACTCAATGCAGGGCTCTGTTCCATAGATTAGTTGACATTCATCCATTCTATGATGATCTGCTCCATGTCCTATACAACAAGGATCACTTCAAGCTTGCACTTGGCCAGATTAATACTGCGAGGAACATCATTGGAAAGATTGCTAAGGACTTGTTAGGCGGCTAAAATATGGGGACTCTCTTTATCGATGCATGTGCTTGAAGGTGGCTGCACTTGGTCGGATGTGTACGGTTATGAGTTATTTTATATTAGAAGGATTTACATACATATCACTTTATTTCATGCTATTTACATATTTAATATCTAAAACATTAATATTACATGCATACCACTCATAGAATAAATTTGGATGATGGAATGAAATATTAAAGTTTATAGGATAGTATGAATGGCAAAAATGAATTATATGAGTGATATATTTGATATTAAAGTTATATATGGGCGGTAGACATGTAATATTAATGTTTTAGTTGTTGTATATGTACATATCATAAAATAAAGTGTTAATATAGCTATGATGATGTAATAGTGATGCAATAATTATATTTTTCAATATATAACTTTTTAAATCAGGACACTTTAATATTGAATATTATTTATAATCAAAATGCTGAAATATAATATTTTGATTATTTATAAGAAATTCAATTTAAAATAATATTAATATTCAACTTACTGATTCAAAAAAATATAAATTGGAGAGGATTTGAACTTCTTTGAACTTTTAAATCTTTTATTATAGTCATTTAATTAAAATAAAACTGCTAGAAATTGTTCTATATTTGAATCCACCAATTCATCAAAAAACGAATTAGTTCACCAATTCTCTGGCTCGATTGCGGATTCAAAAATTTGAACTAGATTGAACTAGCTAGAGGACTTGTTCATGGTTGAACCAGTCAGACCTATTAGTTTGATCATATTTTTAAGATCACGCCCTTGAAGAGGGCAAATTATTACGTCCGGTGTTCGTATTCGTCCAAACACCAATCCAGACACGTCACGTCACCCAAATACATCGGGCCTCAGTGTATTTGGGTGACGTGCCGCGTTTGGATTGGATGTCCGGACGTCCGGTGACCGGACGTAATAATTCGCCCTTGAAGAGAGCTAAACATATTCTATTTTAACAAAAAAATATTAGAAATCAGTGAAAATTTAAAAATGATTAGAATTACGACAACTTTTATTATTTGATTGTCATAGATCACATGCATGAAGGCAAAATTTTTTTTTTTTCCATCCTGTTTTAGTATTTTATTTTTCACCTATATTTAAGTAGTTTGAAAAATATAGAATGATAATAATAATAAATTATAGGGGGTTTACATACGAGCCACAAAAAATTAGGGGGGTTTTACAGGGGAGCCACAAAAATTTTAAATATTAACGTATTTAATATTTGAATATTTATATTTATTTAAATAATGCTTTGATATTTAAACTCTATCAAAATATATACATAAAAAATATTAAATAAGTTACTATTAGGAATATTTTCTTATGATATTTAAGCATTAAATGTTATATAAGTAAATATGCAAATTTATGTATAAGATATATAACTACATTAAAATCTTGTGGTATATTGAAAAATTCATCTAAATTATTTTAATTAGTCATGCATATTAATTAATCAAAGATTAACTAATTAATTACTAAATATAAATAATAATCATTATTAAATCTGAAGTAAATATGCTAATCAAAGATCATATGATATAATTATCCATTAATAGAATATGATTAAGATAATCACTTAAACATTAAATAAACACAAGATAATAAAACAACTAAAAAGTTGGATCCACTTATTTTTATCGGTTCATTAGTACTTAATTTTTATCGCCTACAAAATAATATTTAATGGTCAATTTAAAACAGTTCATTAACAAAATTGGCAGATTTATAATTTTCGAGGTTGAAAATTATATGAAAATAAATTTGATATAATTATATCAAAATATGCTTAAAATTATTATATTTATATTAAAATTTTAATATGAATCTATAAATTTGCTAATTTTGACCGGCAACTGAGGCCTTTTCAGGCATTCTTTAGATCGTAGTAGTTTTTAGGCACATAAAGAAGTTGCCGAGCTCGTGGTCCATCTCTTCCGAGGTACACACAAATCTGCCGCCTGGTCTTCCCCTCGTCTTCATTTTGGATTCCAGGGAGCTGAAAAATAGGGCAGTTCCCGAAGGAGCTCGATCGCCAACTCTGACTATCCTCTTTCCCTTTGATCTCACTCGTAAATATATATTCCCGGGGGGTAAAGATATTTTTTGGGAAGTTCTGTTTTCTTGCTTTCTCATTTGTTGGGTTTCGCACGGAGGGTTTTCTATCCTGCAATGGAATCCAAGGTAGGTTTTCCGGGGTTTTATGCGTCTTTTTGGAATTAGATGGTGTGGGATTACTGTAATTTCCCAATTTAAGTTCTGGAAGATTTGGTTTTGCAGGTGTTTTAGTCGATGGCTGGAAGATAGGATTTAAAAGAGAGGAGTGGGGTCGACTTGGGACAGTGGATCTTTGGACGGTGCGTGAAAGGCGATGGGGTCGGGAAAAATGGATGGGCCTTCGGCGCCGGCCATCCGGCGAGATCCGTATGAGGTTCTTAGCGTGTCGAGGGATTCGTCGGATCAGGAGATTAAGTCCGCGTACAGAAAGCTCGCTCTCAAGTAAGCCCTTTCTTGGATTAAGCTGTCGAGATTATTTGCCTTTTAAAATGGATATCGATATCGTATTTGCAATTGAGCATCATGGAATCCTTCTATGTATTTGAAATGTTCCCGTTTTTGTCAGGGCTTTTTTTTTTTCCTGGAATCTATCATCCGTTTGTTAGGAACTAGCTCAGTAAAGAGAATGGATTCAATCGAGATGCATTTTTTCTCAAGATTATGGCGTAGGGAGCGGTAGCTCTTAGGTTAGGAAGCTGTCATAAATCTTCATGTCCGGTCATAAGCACGGTGTTTTATCCCTTTCCATTGGTGAAGTTGGTCGAAAAATGTTTTCATTTGTATTAATTCCTTGTTTATTCGTTACTGCCAATTTCATGACATATTTGTCCCTGTCAGTTGTTCTCGTCTCACCATAATTTTTGTTAGCTGAAGTATTTGGTTTAGAGAGGCTAAGACACCTGAAAGCTGAAAATAGTGGTGATTAGCTTGTCATATAGGCATTTGGAAGTCATTGGTTTCTTTCTTGGACGTCAACATCTATTTCAGTGTTCCTTTAAAGAACTTAAGCATGCCTCGAACGATTTACAACATGCCTTAAGAAGGTATTTAGCAGTCTTCTCTATAGGCACCCGACACGCCCTTTTCTTTTGGAATTAAAATACTGGGGTTATGTGCATATCTGCTTTTAAAATTTGGTGCCTATATTCCTTTCGTAAATTTAAGTTTTGAATTTGAAAAATGCTGCAATAAAACCTTGATTTATTATTATTGTTTTGGTTATTTTATTTTGTTATAAAATAGAAGTGGAATGACGAGAGTGAGGAAAGAGAAAGAGCTAAGAGAGTGAGAGCAGGGATTCAAGAGTGAGAAAACTTGTGAGAGCTATTGTGATTGTTCTCGTAACTAAAACTAGTGTAGTTATTTCTTTTTGTGGTATTGGACATAGGTAAAGCTTTGTCGAACCATGCAAATCTTGTGTCCCTTATTTTATGTTGTTTTCATATGCTTTATTTTCATCCCTAGTTTTGAAATATTGCTATTGCATATTCACTTTCCCTCAATAATTGATATTAGCCCTAAGCATTAAAGGGGAAAAGTTGAAACATTGATTGGCTACTAAGGAAATTTGAAGATCGAAAATTTTGATTGGAATTTTTTCAGATACTAGATGATGTCGATTAAAGCTTACATATTCTAGGAAAAGCTATATCTTTCTTGAAAAATTCTAATGACCAAGTGCCAAGATGATTCAAATATCTAAACATATCGGTGATGGGAGTTGTCTACCCGACAATAATAAAGAATGTTTCCTTCAACATATTACATGAGAAGATCACAAGTAGAGTGGTGAAAGTTCTATTAGACATGTAGGAGAAGCCATCAATGATGGACAAGGTAAAACTCTTTGACAACCCAAAAGTTTCAATGCTTGGAATTTCTTGTTGTTGACTTGATTGGGCCGACCAATTAAGACAGTTGAATAGATAGAATGTAGGATGATCAAGACCTTGAAGGTTGTTTGTGTAGAAATAGTTGAATGAATTGGAACCCATCTGAGCGATGAGTAATGCTATTCAAATTGGTTGTATTTTGTCTGACATTTGACGAAGTAATCATGTATTTTAACTTTTACTTTTGTAAGAAACTTTTGGCAATTGCAAGGAATCTACGATGGTCCTCTTGCTAGCTGTTCAATCCAGAAATCATTTCTTTCCCTTAAAAAAGGAACCACTTATTGTGATTACACATATGTTTTGGTCTTTAGAAGGCTTCCACCATACACTAATATGTTGTATGGTGCTAAGTGGATGACTAATCGCCCATTGATCTCCTACCCCCTTCTCCTATATAAACCAACTGTTCTAGTGTCTATGTGTTATTGTTTCTTTGAGTAGCCATGAAAGCTGGGGGATATGAACTATTGCCTTATTGAAATTAAACATGGGGACCTTCAGTCATTCGAGTAGTCGAGAACTTAAGAAAGGCAATCAACATTTGTTCTTCATGACTAATTTGGTGGAAAATCATAACCTATTCTTGTTAGCATGTTCCTTGCATGATATTTGTAAAATTTTTAGCTCTTTTTTCCTTTTGTTTATGCCAATGATGAGATGAGTAGTTCCATGGTAGGACTAGTCTTGTTTTTCTTGAATATACCTCATGAACTGGCATAATGATATGAATATGTGAATGAATGAATGAGAATGCTTCCTGCAGAGCTATTGAAATGTGAGATTAGAGGATTATGTGACTTCAAACAAGGACTATATGACTTAAGGTTAATACTCTTTAAGAGGATTGTGCGACTACATGAAGTAATAATGGTATAATAACTCTAAAAAAATGTGTAATGATTGATAGGATAGTTTAATTTGTCAATGCATATATGCTTAACCTGACGTATCTTGCTGTTTGTTCATTTTGTAGCTTTTTGTGGTTACTATTAATTATTTGATTAGTAATAATAATAATTAGTCATTTAGGCTAAATAAAAATTAATAAAGATTTTAATTTTGTTAAATAGTGTTTATTAATAGTAATTATTATTTTTAAGCTTAAAAAATTAAAAAAAATTAATTAACAAAAAAAAAGAATAAAAATATACTTTGGTTAATTAGTGACTAGTTAGGAATTTATTAAGATCAATAAAGTTCTTTTTTTATTTATTTGTGGTAATTATTCATGTGATACTTAATTAGTCACTTATCTACTGAAAAATCAAAATCACTGATGATTAATTAGGATTTTAATTATGATAATATTTTAAAGTTTTTATCATTTAAATATTAATCAAACCTGACTTTGATTAATTAAATATATATGATTAATTTAAATATTAATTGACCTAATAAGATATTATTAATTAATGATTTTGATGGTAATTTTAATTAATTTTGTTTTCCATTTTTGATTGCCAAAAATGATTTCTTTACTTATTTGTGCACCAAAAAATAAGTTGATCATCCAAATATGGTTTTTCTTAAATAATGAACAGGAAGCATATCCTAATCTCACATGTTTATATTTGGTTTGTTTTTCTCCATTATCACATTCTTTTAGCATTTTTTTTCCATACAAGCACGTTAGATGACTTATGTTTCCACGGTAATCACATGATCAAAATTTTGATATTTAACAATTTGGTACCTATGCAAGTATGCATCATCTCTAGATATATATTTTTATCTATTTATTTTATTGACAGTTTTTAATATTGCACTTAATATGCATGATATGATCACATAAGATTTTTGGATTTGAAAATCACAGTTACTGCTAATTTGCTGGAAAAAAATAGGTATCACCCTGATAAAAATGCCAGTAATCCTGAAGCTTCAGAACTTTTCAAAGAAGTTGCTTTTTCATATAGCATTTTATCTGATCCAGAGAAAAGAAGACAATATGATGCCGCTGGATTTGAGGTGAATGCTTTCTCATTCTTTTTATTTTTTTGGCTCATAGTATTAGACCAGAAAATAGCAAGTTTGTGCAATTTGTGATGTTTGCTTAAAATAGTCGGAATGCTGTGAACTTTATTCCCCAATATTTATTGTGATTTTTCATTCAAAGGATAATCAACATAGCTCAAAAATGCTAATCTTCATAGTAGCTCTTGTACTATCATCGAATGTTACTCAGGTTTCTTTCATGTATGAAGTAATCATATTTTTTTGAGCATATTTGATCTTTTATATTCTTTGGCGTGGCAGTTTTGTATATTTAATCAAAATAAAGTTTAGTGATTAAGCCATGTTTGTGAACTAATTAAAATTGAAAGCTTTCTTTTAGGACAAAAGGATCTTTGATTTACTTTCCATGAACCATTGCAATTTTTGTTTAAGATTGATTTACTAGCATTATGTAGCTAAATTTGCACTGGGTTTCTTTTAGCTATTTTTTCTTTGGCAACTTGGATCAAAATTATGATAAACATATGCACATTATTGTTAACTTGCTTCTATGATTTAATTTTTTCCTCTAAACATCGAATAACTCAAAGAAGGGACCCTTTTTTTTGTCTTTTTGTTTTTAGAGATTTCTACCTAAACTTTGTCCAAAAATAGGGATACACCCTCCCTCTAAACAAAAATAGACTACTCATTCTCTTAAATACCCACCAATACACATTGTTACATCTATGTACCTATCACAAGCATTTTGTATGATACCATTAATGTTTGTTTGTGACTAGATTACACTTAGTTATTTGAGTTGGGGATGTGCTTTCATATGGGTTCACTGATTTAGGACAAGCAAAACAAAAATTCATTTAAGACAATTACTTATTTTTTTTATTTAAGAAAATAAGCTAGAATAATTCGTTCCAAATTATAATTTAATGATCATTTAATAAGAAATTTTGCAAGAAAATTCAGATCATAAAACCCTACACTTTAATCAGGATTCACACTATAATGAAAGATATAGATTTATAACAAATTTAACTAAAAATAATCACACTTACAAAGCCAATCTTAAACTGTGTAGAAGAAAAAGTAAAAATGAAATAATTTATCATACAAATAGGTCCAAGTCTTACATCGATATAAGTAGACTTCTTTAGACTCACGTAAAAAAATTTACATCCAACTAGCACACAAGTTCCAAGAGAAGTGCTATGGAGAGTTCTAGAAAAGAATGGGGTTAATAATGCTTATATTCAAGTCATTAAGGATCTGTATGCCGGAGCTATTTCTTGTGTTCGAAAACTAGGTGGTTTGATCAAGTGTTTTCTTATTTTAGTTGGATTACATCAACGATCAACTTTTAGGTCATCTATTTTTGCTTTAGTCATGGATGTTCTTACTAGACATTTACAAGAGGTTGTACCCTGGTGTATGCTTTTTGCTGATAATATTCTTCTTGTTGATAAGACTAGAGAAGAAGTTAAACTTGAATTATGGATGTCAACTTTAGAGTCCAAAGGTTTTCGTTTGAGTAGATCTAAAAACTGAATACATGAAATGTAATTTTAGTAGTAATAAATATAGCGGGGAATTGTGACTTTGAGTGATCAAGGTTTTAATAAGAGTACACGTTTTAGATATATCGGGTCTATTATTCAACGTAACGGTGAAATAGATGGGGATATGGTTAGTAGAATTCAAGTTGGATGGTCAAAGTGGAGGAATGCATCAGGCCTTTTGTGTGATCAAAAAGTACCCAACAAACTTAAGGGAATATTCTATAAGTTGGTGGTGAGATCTGCAATGCTTTATGGCATGGAAAGTTGGCCATTATAACAGAAGCATAAAATTAAGTTACGTGTTGCAGTGATGAGGATGCTAAGGTGGATGAGTGGCTTCACTCTTATGGACAGAATGAGAAACGAGTATATACATGAAAAGGGCAGAGTAGCTCCAATTGTAGATAAGATTAGAGAGAGTCTCCTTGGAAGGTTTGGTCACATAAAACATTGGCCTTTTGATGACCTAGTTAGGAGAGTAGATGAATTATATTTGACCTATATTAAGAAAGGTAGAGGTAGACCTAAAAGGACTTGGTTAGAACATATTAGAAATGATCTTCTTTTTAATTAGATTTAAATGTGAATTTGACTCTTAACAAAACAGAATGACAAAAAAGTATTCATGTAGCCGGCCCCACATAGCGGATGAAGGCTTGATGTTGTTGTTGTTGTTGGAACACTTAAGTTTGAGAGAAAATGAAGAGTTCCATTTAGCAATTATTATGTTCTAACATGCCTCAGTAACCATTGTTTATAATTTCCCATGTAGTTGAGTCATTATTTATGTCTTCATATATTCAATTAAAGTTTATATAATTTGCCAACTTCTCTAATATGGCAAAAATAGTCATATTATTTTAAAGGATGCAAAATGATAGCAACTCTACTGAATGCAGCAATAAGCTTTCTCCAATTTCAACTATATGTTTAAGTAAAATAACATATTATTTCGAGAATTCAATCCATTAGCATGTTAGTGTTCTAATTTCTTTCGTAAATGCTTAAAGATTGATAATGATAATTGTTGCGGGCTAGAATATATGCGGTGGTAGAGTTATAATTGTATGTCTTAGCGTCGCACAGATATCCAGCTCACACACAAAGAACATAAGATTTTTTACATGGAAAATCCTGGAAAGGGGAAAAACCATGAGGCCTGACACAGTTGAAAATGATTCCACTAGAATTCGACTAAATTACAGTGGGCTGACTCGCCCTCGAGGGCGATCAGATTACAAATGCCAACCGTGTGGTTGAAGTTAAGGGTAGATGAAAGCCCGATGTCACTTGGTGGCCTGGCGGAACTCCGCGGTTACTTGGTGGTCCGTCGAAATTCTGTTGTCACTTGGAAGTTCGGGTGTTAGCTGATAGAACTTAAGCGTCCGTTGATGGTTTGGCAGAACTCCGATGTCAGTTGATGGTCCGACGGAAGTTAGGGAAACTTTGCGTGTCAGGTGGTGCTCCGGCGGAACTCTGGCGTAAGGTGGTGGTCCGGCGGAACTCCGACATTATGTGGTGGTCCGGTGGAACTCCGGTTGTCAGGTGGTGGTGCGACGGAACTCCGACGTCAGGTGGTGGTACGACGGAACTCAGGGCATCACGTGGTGGTCCGACGGAGCTCAGGGCATCAGATGGTGGTCTGGTAGAACTCCGAGCGTCAGGTGGTGGTCCGGTGGAACTCCAGGCGATGGTCGAGTAGGCAAGGAGGCAAAGCGATCTCCGATCTATCTTTATTTTCCTTAGGCTTAGGGGTCTCCTTTCAAGAGGAAGGAGGGGTCTATTTATAGATTTCCTAGAGTGACAAGGAGGCAAATCAATCTCCGATCTATCTTTATTTTCCTTAGGCTTAGGGGTCTCCTTTCAAGAGGAAGGAGGGGTTTATTTATAGATTTCCTAGAGTGACATGACCCACAAATAGTAGGAAGATCAAGGGTAAATGGGGAGTGATTTGGATGGACGACCGATGTTGAATCACTTGATCGTGGACCGTTCGTTAGTAATTTGAAGTTCTTAATGATGTCGGAATTCCGTGATCTTGGGCTCGTTGGATTCGCCTCGTCGAGCTGCTCGATTCGACTATAAGTATGTCTCGTTCGGTAATTCGAATTGTGGTTTGAACCTTTCAACGATGCTTTAGGTCCTTTATTTGGACTCATTTGGGTTCACAGATTGAGTCGAATTTGGTGTCGTTGGGTTCATGTTCTCGAGACGTTCAGTTTGACTATAAGTTTATTGAAATCAGAATTCGGATGGTCCCAAATTTAATTTAGGAAGTTTCCAACTTGATTTTGCCTCGAGATTTGTGTCCGATCATAATTTTTTTTGATTATTTATCAATAATATTGGACAAACTCTTTAGGAAACAAATGATGTCTATAATATAGAAGTGTTTTTATAATTACATAGAACTCCTTTTTATATTTTAAATATTTTGTTACTTTTTATCATTCAAGTTATTTTAAAGCAATTGACAGGGGTGTTAAAACAGTTTGCCCGATATTGACTCGACTGGAATTTAGTCAATCCAAACATGATCCGATAACCTATTTTGATTAAATATTTTTTCTTGTAACTTATCAATTATAGAGTTTATGTTAATTGCTAAAAAATAAGATCATATGAAAAAAAAATCAAAATGGGTCCTTGACTCTTTATGAAAGACCAAAATGGTCACGAATTATATTAAATGATCATTTTGCCCTCAACTCTTTATGGAGGAACCAAAATAGTACTATATTTGAGGGACAAAAATAGTCTTTTAATATAGTTGGGGACCATTTTGATCATTCATAAAAAGTTAAGAGACTATTTTGGTCATTTTCCCATGATTATATCAATGAGCAAAAAAATTTAAAGAAAAAAATTAGGCGTGTTACTTTCGGGTCAAAATTTAGTTCATGGGTTAACTCCAACCCAGCCTGTTTAATAAATGGATCGAAATTTCGAACCCAAACCTGACATATTTATTAAACGGGTCAACTTGAACCCAAATTTTTTTTGTTTGGATTGGAGGGTTTTGCTCATTGTTTGACACTCCTGACAATTGAATTTTCTTTTTAACTCAAAACTCCTCCATTAACTACACTTGATGCATCACAAGAAACCATGAAACACTAACTTTGAACATTATTAAAATTAGAGAGTTTTAACACATGTACATTTTAAAATCTCTTTTCAATAAATTAAAACGATGATCAATAAATTTTTCCATTTAAACTCTTTTCTTAATATGTAATATATAGTGTAGCAATGATCCAAAACTATCTTGGATAGGATTGATGTCCAAAACGTTAAGTGAATTTGAGGGAGTATTTGGGTGTATTGTCTATTAGAGTGTCACCTTCTTACACTACGAGTTAACGGAGGTGTACCTCTCAACTAAAAAGCATCCAAAGCAATATAATGTGATCACACAAAGCTTCCAATATTTCTAGGTTATCCTACTAAGTGGGT